GTCAGCTTCCTCGCGTCTCTTCCCGACCGTGGGGATTGAATCCCCAATTCTGCCCTCACGGCTGCATTACTTGTGCGCCTGGAGAATCCTAGGATGGTTTTCGCTGGTTTCATCTGCGCCGCCTCGAGTTCCTTCANTCATCTTCGTCGATGTCGAGCCCCTTCCAAACGTCCTCTACAACCTTGACGCATTCCGTGGGCTGTCTACTCCTCTTTTTGTTGTTTGCCCACTTCGCCTCCCATACATTTCTCGGCAACCTCTCCTCTCCCATCCCGCACATGCGATACTGCCACGTCAGCTTCCTCGCGTCTCTTCCCGACCGTGGGGATTGAATCCCCAATTCTGCCCTCACGGCTGCATTACTTGTGCGCCTGGAGAATCCTAGGATGGTTTTCGCTGGTTTCATCTGCGCCGCCTCGAGTTCCTTCACTAAAGTGGTAATTGTCAAGGACCCGCTGTCAGGCATCTTGATTAATTTCTCTGTGGAGCCAGGGTATTTACCCAACAAAATGCATACCATTCAAAAGCTACGGACCAGGGCTTTCGAATGATCCTATTTTTAGCTTTCACAGACATGTTGGTGACGAGTTATGTCCTATATACCGTTTCGCCGAAAACGCGGAGGAACTAGGAAATCTCGATTTGCGGGGCCCCAACCACCTCTGCGAAAAAAAATATATATATTTTTGGAATCCTCGCAAAAAGTTGGTTCCAGATCACCTCGTTTTGAACCCGGTTTCGCCTGGCTCCAGTTCGAAATTAATCAAGATGCAATTTTCAAAAAAAATGCCGCCCGACCGTTGGTGTGGGCAGCAGCAGACACCGCACATGAGAGGTGTACACATGTTGTTGTGAAGACCGGCAACCGAATGGAGCTCGAGCAAGAGAGGATCGCCTGCCTACAGCAGTCAGTTCCTGACGGATTCAAGCTGCGCAACACACTCAGCATCGATAGACAGAAGCCACGAAAGTACCGTGTAGTGCTGTACGCAAGGTCCAGCGACAGCACTGAGTTGAAATGGCGGAGCGGCTGGATCACGTCTGGAAAGCCACGCGGTCGCGAC